GAGTAACCGCAAAACATGCAACTTTTTGCTATTGTGATGGCATAACTCAGTACCTATAGCAGCTACACAAAAAATGATTGCATATTTGAAATCTCCATGAAAAACTATATTAACAAAATTTTGAAGTGTCTATGACTAGAAATAAGTTTTATTTTTTATAACAAATTTTTATCTCTTATTGGTGGCACCTCTGTCAATTTTTTTTATCATGGTATTACGGAGTGTGAACGCTATAATCTGTGACTGTCTTAGTGTAATCGGGTGAACCGCTAAAACTGGTCAGTAACAACACGAGTGGCATTTAGAATCACAAAATTGAAAATATTTGAAAAGTAAAAATGATGGGTGGAATTTCTGACTAGGAGATTACCTTGAAATGCAGTAATAGGTAAATGCGGCTATGTCTTCAGTAATATCGGCAGCATAATAAGGGAAGTGGAGGAATATTGTTACAGCTTTCAGAACATTTCTGTAACCATGGCAAGATGTAACTTCAAACAAGTTGTGTACACCGAGGTTTGTTGAGGGAAAAAGTAGTAATGGAACACAAAAGAAGTATAGATCATATAAGAGGTGGCAGTTTTGTGGTTTTTTAAGATCTCGTGAATATATAGAATGCTCTCCTTAATGGCTTATCCCGTCGCGGTGGTCTAGTGGCTAAGGTACTTAGCTGCTGATCCGCAGGTCGCGGGATCAAATGCCGGCTGTGGCGGCTGCATTTCCAATGGAGGTGGAAATGTTGTAGGCCCGTGTGCTCAGATTTGGGTGCACGTTAAAGAACCCCAGGTGGTCGAAATTTCCGAAGCTCTCCACTACGGCGTCTCTCATAATCATATGGTGGTTTTGGGACGTTAAACCCCACATGTCAATCAAATAAATGGGCTTATCAAAAAATTGGAAGGATGATATGAAAATCATTAATGATAAATGACAAAATTAAAAGATATGCGGCATTCTTGCTGTTGTATTTTAATGAAAAAATTGTTTACTATGAAAATATTGAAATTAATCAAATGATTGATTTCTGGTATTATTGTAATGGAGCTGTTAAATTGAGGTGTGAAAGCTTTCAAACAACATGCAAGATAAGTGCAGCTGGTGGTCATCACTCTGACGCGGCTCAAGTATACTGCCTTCAGAGTGTTTCATTGCCCCCTTATCTCTGAGGGTATGACCCTGATCATTCCAGGCCACACCCCTGTGGTGTGTCACTTCCTTTGAGCCCATTGTCGGCTTCCAAAACTGCTGGGTTAGCAATATGCATTCGCGTGTATTAGAAGCAAAATATTTGCATGGAGGCTTCTCTTCAGCTGCACATTTTTAAAACTCCGTTACTTCTGCCATTCTAAAATTTCACAGCAGTTCGTGTTTGTTATTCGTACACAAAAAAGTAGAAAAGTACTGCTTAAAATGTACCACTGGATAAGGCAACACAACCTATTCTCTGCTATACACTGTATGCTTATCCTAAAGCTCTTAGGGAGGGAAGATGCGGCAGTCAGTGGGGAATATATTTACAACCGCTGGTTAAAAGGAGACATTATCCTGTTCAGCAACTTCGCTGAGCTTTCTACCATTCAGATCAACAATTCAAGATTCACCCCTCATAGTTTTTTGATTGAATAAGAAAAAAAGTGTGTAAATAAAGATAAGATAGATGTTACCAAGTTGTGGCTAACAGCTCACAAGCTTGTCTGGACACAACAGCATGCTCATATGGTTCCACTTGTACTAAGCTCCGTGGCTGAAACTGTAGATCAGATTAGTTTCGCAAGAGACTGGCTTGTGCAACAATTACCTTTATGAAAGCTGATACATGTAGTGTCGATAGACAGGGCCTTACTCCTATGGATTTGAAAAGAAAATGAGAATTGTGCAAGATGGGGATCTTGCTAGTTCTTGGTAATGCTAAAACAGATAACGGCGGTGTTTACAGAAGTAACTTAGGTAGTTTTATTAAAAGAAGTAAATGTAGCAGATATCGTGGTAAACTCTTTATTTCACCCCTAAAAGAGGGCACCAGGCCAAAGACTGGCGATTGTCGGTCTTTGGCAATCGCCAGTCAGCAGCTCAGTTGGTCTCCTGGAGCAAACGGTGTGTGTGTTTAGACGGGGGGGGGGGGGGGGGGGGGGAGGAGGTTATGATGCTGTCATAACTTGTTGTGTAAGAGTGCAGCGTGATGACTGGAGGGAAGTAAGGGGGTCACTTGATCGTGCACGCAAAGACCCGTACTTATTTACAACCCATTATATTTTCAGCATGCCAGACATCTTTTAAAGACCCGTACTTATTTACACCCCATTATATTTTCAGCATGCCAGACAACGCCTGATTGAGCAGACTTACCCTTTCTAGAAATCACCTCGTTCCATTTTTCACCAACCTTGGTCACTGGAAACTCATCAAAAGTGACATCAGAAGTCTCTCCTTGCCTTGATTCGCAGAAATGCACGCAGCACACGACCATCGTGATGGTTCATTTGCACCAAGAAACCTCGCTTCGCTGGTTTACAAACTGCACCTACCTGCACGCTTCTATTGCAGCTCGACACGAGGAGAGGTGGCAAAAGATCGTCATTGTACTTTTAAGTTTATTCAAAAAGAGGCTTTTATTCATTTTTTTTTTTCAATCGTCCAGAGTGCCCCACCACGGTGGTCTAGTGGTTAAGGTACTCGGCTGCTGACCCGCAGGTCGCGGGATCGAATCCCGGCTGTGGCGGCTGCATTTCCGATGGAGGCGAAAATGTTGTAGGCCCTTGTATTCGGATCTGGGTGCACGTTAAAGAACCCCAGGTGGTCTAAATTTCTGGAGCCCTCCACTACGGCGTCTCTCATAATCATATGGTGGTTTTGGGACGTTAAACCCCACAAATCAATCGTCCAGAGTGTATGCACGCGTAAACATTGCTGCTTTTCTCCCAGTGTCGCGCGAGCAAACGACAAAGAAAAAAAAAGTGCGGCGGCCTATGTTTTGGCCGTCGGCAACCGGTGCGGATGGGGTAAGTTGTAGCGCCACAAAGCGCATAGCGGCAAGCGCCAGTACCAGAAAGTGCGTGCTGGCGCTTCGCTCGCTGGGCAGGTGAGTACAATACAGTAGGTCGTGCTTTAGCGTTGGTAATGGAATTTTGTGTTGTGATACTGCAAACTGTTCAAAAGGGTTGCTGCTTGAGTGAGTTTGTGTTCAGTAACTTCAGTCTGAATTAGCATGACACAAAGAAAAGACAGTTGCACACAAAGAGAGAAAAAAGGGCTTATTTTATATGTAGTGTTTATGTGTTACGCTAATTCACACTGGTGGGCAAATTTTTGTGACTCGCAAATGCTGTAGAGGCATCCCTGTTGAGCCTTAGTTTCTGCATTGGTCTATTGTCGATATTTTGGACCAGATGTTGAACCAACCTAGCTTCCACTTCCGACAGTTTGCCATTTGCCGAAACAAGTATACATAATTGATCATTTGCATAAATCCGCAAGGCAGATTTCATGCAAGGTTCTTGACCAAAAACTCGTGCCCCGGGTGTTGTCAAAGTTGATGTGATGGGCCATCTTTTTGCTATGTTCTGCAAGAGCGTTTCGTGCAGCGTTAAAGCTATGCACGTCATTTTGCTGTTGCCATATGCTTTCTGGAAAGTTCTTTGTCCCATTGATGCAAGTGGTGTGACAGTGCATGGAACCTCGTAGACGAGCCCTGGGAATTTTTCTTTTGGCAGTCACTGTTTTAGTCGCAGCAAGAGTCGCCCAGTTGTTGATGTTGGTTTGTGCGCTACCTGGATACCTTCCTTTCCCGACACCCTGGCCAGTTTCACTCTGATAACTGATTCTGTGAACGTGGCTGGAGAGTTTCTTTATTTGTACTAGTCTTAACATAAGCACTATGCTATGTTTTTTTTTTCTCCAGATATTGGTGCGAATGTGACTGTGGGGCTGTGAGGATTACTGTCATAAGTGCACTCCACTTCCGTAGTTTTTAATTCATTGCAACAGGTTTGTCTCCAAGAGTGGTAGTGCTGTTCGTTCTATATCTCTTAACTCTGGTTTGTGTGGTCCTGGCCTCTCAAGAACAAAGCATGATTTTTCTTTTCTTGGTGCCTTATAATCATTTATATGCTTGGCATGTATTTATAGTGTGTGTCCGGTAAAATTTCTGCAGAGTGTACACTTATTGTTTGTTTTGTTTCAGTCAATTTGTAACATTTGATTGGCCGATTCCCCATTTCTCATTTTATTAAAACATGCATGTGTATGTGTGCTGAAACATTCATAACTTCTGTCAAAGGAATGTATTCTGCGATTTGTATGCCTTAATAAGGTTTTGTGGATGAACCCCCCCCCCCCCCCCCTTTAGAGTCTTATTGATTAAGGTACTGTGATTAAAAGAAAAAGAAAGTTTTATCTCTGTTTCATATGTTGTATGTCTGCTAGAGGTTCCTGCGAATGTGTGTCCCTTGTTATTTGGTTTGGAAGAGCTCACTTTGTATTGCCATGGATACTTGGTCATGTTGAACTGCAGCAGCATCATTTTGCCTTTGAGTGGTTACTGATGTACGTTTTGTACTAAAATCGCTTTAATGACTTTCATTTTGTAATTGGCTGCTTCTGTAAAAGGCAGTAGGTGTGTTTCTCTTACTGCCTGTGGGCTTCAAGTTCTGTGCTAAATGTGCATTTGAAGTTAGCATGTGCATTTGAAGTTAGCATGCTAGTAGCATCCTTCTTGATTTAAAGGCTTTGCTAAGTCTGCTACATATTTCTGTGTATAATTTTTTTTCTAGTGCACTTGTGCGTTAAAATCACATTCAAGCTAGTGTTGCCTTGTAGCAACAGAAGACGTGCTAAAAACAGCACCAGTTATAGCTGTCTCGCTCAGAGGCAGCTTTAACTCAGTACTCCTTGAGCTTTATCTCAAAAGTACTGAGCTTTTAGCTCGGTACTCTTTGAGCAACCTTTGTGATACATGACCCTAGGGTTCGGGTTTTGGTGACCGTTTGGGTAATGAAATGCAGGCCGAGTCGTTCATCTTGGACCCAGAAGAGCTGGAAGAAGGGCGCGTGCTGGACACGTCCAAATTCTTGCTGAGCTCATCTGAAGGGGGCGGAGGTGAGAGCCCCGACCTGCAGGTGGGCGTCGACCCCGATACCCAAGCACGCCTCGAGGCGCTGCTTGAAGCCACAGGTGGGTGGCCTCTGGGTGCTACTGCTTGATGCTACTTGAAGATCTTGGTTTGGATTCAGGCTGTGTTGTGAGGTGCTGCATACATGCTTGGTAAACAAGTTTGGGTGACACAATATTCTTCTTTACACGTGTGTTTTAATGATTTTATATTGCTGTGATTGTCAGTGTTGCAACACTACAAAGATCTCCGAAAATTTGCATCAGTGCTGTATTTTCCGGGGGGTGAAATTGAGTTTTATATTCATTTGGCTGTTTTTTGAATGATAAAGGTGATCTAAAAAAAAAAAAAAGCCTTCGCCAGCTAATTTTTTCAGGTCAGCCTTACTGCTAGGCCGTCATGCTCCCGACACACCACGTCAGAGCCCGAAACTGCCTCAAGGTATCGGTCCGCAGAGCGAAAACCGGCTACTTGCGCGCAATACATAGACGTGACTGCGGCAGTACATGCCATTGTAGCCATGTGTCACATACTTTCTCAGTTTTTTATGAAGGCATGTAGCCCCCCTATAAAGGTGATTTCACCACAGTATGTGGCTACTATGTCATGAAGCCACCTATGCAGGGAAGCCCACACAGCCATGAAGCCACCCTTTAAGGTTAAATGCATACATTTTATCTGTGCCTCTGGTATTATTATTTTTTTAATGGGGCCCTACAAAACTCCACTCTTTTGCAGGCTCCTTAGAACATGTGTGCCAAACATGACCACATTCTCTAATATTTACAAATAATCTTTCAATTCGGCTAGAATTTGTTACCTCTTTTCTCTACAAATGAAGCCATTATCCAAAATGACTTCATCAAACACAAAATCCAGTGGCATTGGCTGATTTGAGAATCATGAGCTGCATAGTTACTGCAGCTGCTGCGGGATGCCTGTGAATGCTCGCAATTGCACTTAATGTAAGCCACGCATTTAAAAAAATAAAAAAGGAAGTACTTAAGGTCATGGGACCTACAAACATGAAGACTTATCGTCTCCCTTTAGTGCGATTACCAGCTCCCGCGTAATTGCCTTGAAGGGTTGAGGGGGTCGCAATCTTGCCGCTGGATCCATATCAGCAACGAGTGGTTGTTTTGCTCGCCGCGAGATGTCGCGAAAAGAGACTGTAGTTGCTCTCGATCCCGCTTTAATGCGCTGGCAGCAGCCGCCGGAGCGCGCAGGCCACGCTCTCCCGTGTTTCCTTTCGTAGAGATTGACACTGTACTTTAACAGAAAAAAAAAAAAAAAAAAAAAAAACTTCCACAATGTCATAGCCACTTTCAGTTGAGCTTTAAGGGGCCCTGCAACAATTTTTGAGCACGGTTATAAAACGCTGCCAATTGGTAGTCAAGGCTCCGGAGAACACGAGAGCCAAATAGTGTGCAGCACGGGGCCTGGAATTCACAATAAATTTTCAGTCAGCGATAAATTGCTTTCTCTTCACTGGACAAATTACCATACAAGCTCCAATAAATTTTGAAAGTCGGCTAAAAATTGCCTTCTCTCGACAAATAATGCTACAAGCTCAAAAATTTCTTGTCACAGCCATTGTATAGGCCATTGGCTGATTGTAGTTACTGGGCCCGCCAAGAGAGGCCATGACTTGTCGACATAGGCTTGCAACCACACTGAAAAGCCATGTATCGAAAAAAAAAAAAAAAAAGTGCTCAAGGTCCAGAGGTGTGACATATTTTTCTTCCCTGTGCCATTCCTTCCTGCTTAGCTTCCAGCGCTTTCGTCAGGATGAGAGAAAAGAGAACGAAATTGCTGTCTGCGACAAATCTGTAGCTCCACTCGTACTGGATGGATTCGAATTTTTGTGGCGAATTTGAAAGGCAGTAACCTACTTGAGTACATCTATTCCATTGCTACTTCAAAAAGTGTTGCAGGGAACCCTGCAACGCTTTTTGAGCATGGTCAGAAAACCAAAAATATGCCGTAGAGTACCGCTAAGTATATTCTAGGCACTGTATTACTGTGCATGTGGCTGAAGGCCGGCGGTCAGGAAACTCGTTCGCCCCTGCATTTCGCACGATCTCGGGACGAATAGCACACTTCGTGTTCCAGATGTATCCCACACTAGTTTTTAAATGCTTGGCATTGCCACTGTATGCTATTGGACGGTTGTGAAGGAGTGACCCACACTAGTTTTTAAATGCTTGGCATTGCCACTGTATGCTATTGGACGGTTGTGAAGGAGTGACAAAATCTTTCCTGCACTGTGGCATAAGACAAAAATTGAGAAATGGCTTTGTGGTGAGCTGCTCTTTAAAAATAAATACAGTGGCTCTGTATTTATTTTTGTTGGCAGTGATGAAGTGTGCCAGGAGATGCAAATTTGTATGCGTAGTGCATTTAGAGCATAATTATGTCACTGTTTACTGCAGGTATGTACAGTTGTATCTCATTAGTTTTAACACACTTAATTCTAATTTCCAGTTGATTCGAACTCACGATGAGGTCCCGTCAAAGCTATGTGTATTCCAGTGGGCGAAAACGCCCGGTAATTCGAATGCACAAGCACTTGCAACGGTTAATTTGAACATACTGCACTCCGAAAATGCTCTCAGCACCCCACCCAATCCCGCGGCAGCACCTCCGACACCTCCATGCTGTGCGTGAAGAAAAAGAAAAGGAAAGAAAAGCTGCAGTGGAACGTTTTCTCTCTCTCAAATTGCTATCTTCTACGCACCTGTGCCACTCTTCTCTTTTTTCCGCCCCTGCCACGTAAAGGCCCTTCTCCTTCTAATGCCGCGTGCAAAGAGAGAGAGGAAAAAAAGCTGTTGCGGATTGTGGCTCTCTCATGCGCCGGTGCCACACTTTGCCCTTTCCCGTCCCTACCACGTAACCCTTCTCCTTTCAACAACGCGCCCCGTCCCTACCACGTAACCCTTCTCCTTTCAATAATGCGTGCAAAAAGAGAAAGAGAGAAAAAACAAAGCTACCGTGGAGTGTTGGTTCTCTCTCAAATGCCGATCTGCTTCTCTCCGCGTAGAGGCGCCCCTTCTTTCTCGTCACATGCTGGCCACGCTGTGGCTTTGGCGAGGAGGGTAGTAGCGGAGATGCAGTCATTGTCGTCTTCTGTAGAGAGTGTTGGCGCTGGACATTGCTGCGCGCAACTTCTCTTGCCAGGAGAATGCTGAAGCTGAAGTAGACTTACTTTGCAAGCTGCGTGCAGAATTGATTGACTCTCTGACTCTCTGCTAGGCAAACGTATGCAGACACGCAAAACCGATTACTTCAATCAATGACGGGTGTCCTGTGATTTGTGAATAAATGTAAATCTTCTGAAATTTCCCCCTTGTGTGCTGGCTCAATGCACATGCGCCACAGCATGGGGAGCCCTCTGGTTACTTAGCTTTCATTAATTTCAACTTCTTTTAATGCGAACAAATTTTTGGGCCCCTTCGAGTTGAATTATCTAGATTTGACTGTATTATCGAGGTTTCATTGTATAGCTGCGGAAACCTGTGTATGTAAACATGTTAATTAGAACTGTAGCTAACACTATCGAATCGTAGTCAGATGAATAAGCACTACTTGATTCATGCACACAAAGTACCCCTTCTTTTTATTCAAGTGACATCTATTGTAGACAGATGTGCTGTTTATTCATTATGGGCATGTCTATATGCGTGCAGGGCTGAGCAAGCTGTCCCTCGAGGGCAAACAGTTTGCAGACCCAGAGGTTCTTCGGCGATTGACAACCTCGGTGAGCTGTGCTTTGGATGAGGCGGCAGCTGCGCTCACGCGCATGCGGGCTGAGCACGGCGGGGCCACACCCCATCAGCAGCAGTCACAGCAACCACAGCAACAAGCGCAGCAGCAACCGCAGCAGCAGCAAGGATTAACTGAAGGAGCAACCGCGGTGGCAGTCAACAGTAGCCGGACCCTGGCGGAAGCGTGTAGCGAGGGGGACGTACTTGCCGTGCGTCAGCTGCTCGACGAGGGCCGCAACGTCAACGAGGTCACCGAAGAGGGGGAGAGCCTGCTCTCTCTCGCTTGCGCCTCGGGATACTCCGAGCTGGCACAGGTATGCTCAGAACAGAAAAAACTTCCTGCCTTAATACAGTGATGGAACTGTTGCTCCAAACAGTTCCAAAGAGAAATGCTGCTCCGTGCTGCTTCAAACAGTAATCGTTGTTAGTCATTGCTCCAAGCCTGCTCTAAAATGACACTGAGAGAATGACACTGACAAGATTCTACTGTTTGACCGACTAGCAAGTCCTAAATAACCTGAAACGAGTCTGTGTACTGTCGTCCCAGTGTGCTACTAGTGCTGATGCCCACCTTTTCCGCAATTTCCCATAGAGTTACACCACGGTCCCACATCACTACAGCGCTCACTTCGGCAATGACCTGGTCGTTTCAGCATGTTGATGGCCGACAGGAGCGTGGGCCGCCCTCCATCGATGTGCGGCCATGTTTGAACTGGTTCTACCACTTCATAATCTGTGTGCGGCTCATAGTGTCGCCACCGAAAGTCGTCCCGACCTTCCCAACTATTTCCACTTGGCTGTCACCGAGTTTCTGACAAAATTTTATGCAGTAGCGCTGCTCCAGTCACTCCGTCATTTTCCTTGCAATGAGAAACCGACGAGAGCACTGCGCACTATCTCACTCAATAGCTGCGTCCCAGCGACGGACGCCCTTGGCAGGCAAGAAAAAATTTACGCATGCGCACGAAGGTTCGAGGTCTGCTTATGGAAGCGCTTGTTTTAAATCCATCAGGTGCTCGCAAAAAAAAAAAAAAAAAAAAAAAAAGGTCGGATACTTTTCTAACAGACCTCGTATTTTACTAATATTTGGGCTTTGAGCTGCTTTCTTTCTTGCTATCGACCGTGTCTGAAAAAAAAAAAAAAAAACAGCGATTGAGTTTGCGAAGGCTCGAAGAAATCTGGTCTGAAGTGCGTGCAAGATGTGTTCAGATGCTAGGCACAGGATTGTGAGCAGAGGCTGTGAGTCACTAACAATAACCAAGAGTTCATTTTTGCCCTGGTCTAATCTCGCCGGATACCCTTTCTTTGATGCTTCCTGCGATGACGGCAGCTCTAGTTACAGTGGCAGTGTGGCTATGATCAGCGGGCAAATCCAGTGTGCCGCAGAAATATTCACTCTTGGTGGACACTGAAGAATCACATGCAGTGATCAGAAGAAGAGTTTGTTTTGGTGACAGCGAATGTAGATGAAGGTTGCAGTTTTTTTCCAGGAACCACGCTTGTGTTGTGCTTAATATTGATGACCTCAAACTGTATCCAAATTAAGGCTGTCATGATGGTTGTGATATTTTATGAAGATAATGCTTGAGCCCATCTTTTGGCTTTCTCCGTCAAATTTTTGTAACAAGCATGTAAAAAAATGGCATTTTGACCGTCCACCATTTGAAACTGCATTTGTTTCGTGGCAAAGGCACTTATACTTTGGCCGTTCTGTGTACTAGTTTTTCTTTTTTTTTCCCAGATTTTTCGTGACCCAAGTCGGGAAGGTTGACCTATATTTCAGTCTGTTCTATATTTTGCTTTTTATGGTAACTGAGTATTTTAGGTCAGCACACAAATGTACTTATACTAAACATATTTTATCAGCGTCAACTCAGAATTAAAAAAAAAAATAAAGAGAGTTGTCCTCTTCTTAGCAATTTTTGATTACTAAGGTTATATTGTACTACAGTTAAACCTGGATATAACGAAATTGATGAAATTTCAGAAAAATTTGTTATAAAGAGGATTTCATTATATGCAGGTTCAGTACGAAAATCGGGAAAATAAACGCGCAAATGAAACAAAAGGGGGACTGAAGGCAGAGCTAACTCAAAACACTTACTTTACAGTAAAAAAGCTGCATTACTATTGTGATAGCAATTATCTGGACACACTCAGTGGGTTTTTGCTGTCGCTGCCATGTTCCTTAACAAGTCCAGATTGATAACATGCCCCCGCGCATCGTAACTTTCACGAGCGGGTAAAAGCGCAAGAGCGCTCGCTGAGAACAAATGAGTCTGCCCATCTCAATCGCCTAAAAAGTGCATAAGATAACATTTCCCGTGTGTTAAAACTACCATCGAATGCTCAAAGTAAACCACCCATCTTGAACAAGCGTGAAACAACGCGCGGGGGGGGGGGGGGGGATCGTTCGATTAGCAACAATGAACTTGTATTTCAAGGGTGGTCGCTATCGCTGGAGTACTTGCTATCAAAGGGACGGTATGAAAAGAGCACTTCACCCTGGAGTGGCTGTATTTGCACCAGCGTTTTGTAGGAGTTCCGTGGTATCAGATCCATGACTTAGCTGCCAGCCTTACTTCTTATAACATTACAATTTTTTTTTGCTATCGTGTTCATAGCATTGCATTCAACGTGCCGTCGTGTTGCCAAAACTAATCGACTAATCGCGAAAGCTACCAGCCTATGAACTCGCGGCGTGGCGAAAGACAGAAGCGCATAACGAGTCGACTTCCGAACATTCGTCATCACTGTGGTCTCGGCGAGTTTCCATCAGCGCCTAATCTGACAACCCCTCGGTGGTGACGACACGGTTTTCCGAAATTAATTAAAGTCACAGTTTCGCCGCAAGGGTGAAGCAATGACAACTTGGAATGGTAACGCTGAGAAGGGCAAGCAGATCGAAGTATGCAGCGTGTTGCTCAAGCACAAATGACGGGCGAAAAGAACATACACAGAACGAGAGCGAACAATGTTTACTGCTCACCACTAAACGCGCTGCTTAACCATGATGTGTGAAGATATTGGACATGGGTGTGTGGAGATATTTTCTGTATTTGTAACAAACATGAGGAAAATATACATGCTTATGTAGTTTCTCCTGCTGATTTCAAACATGCAAAAATTTTCATTGTAGGTTCATTAATTTAGAAGATACACAATGCTGCCACTATATTGTTTTCGGAGACAATAGAAAAGAAAGAGCTTATCAAAAAGTAAATGTTATTGCATAGCTAGACAGAGCAAATAGCAATAAGTGCAATGTTGCAAGCAGATTTCAAATTAAAGAAAAACTAGTGATTCTGCAGATGATGAAAGTTGAGGAGTCATGTCATGGCTATCACATACAAAGAAATTTAATACCTTCTAAATTTATATGTGGTAATAAGCGCGTGCCGGCTCATCGTGACAAGCTGGATGCCGAGCGCGGGCGGCTTTTTTTTTTTTAGTTAATCGTGTATATATATATATATATATATATATATATATATATATATATATATATATATATATATATATATTCAGACTGTCATAAGACTGCCAAAATAATTTCTATATCGCAATAAAAAAGGCAAAGCTGAACGTCGTGGGAGGGGGGGGGGGTGACACCATACGCGTGCATGAAGAGCGAACGACACAGATACGGATACCACAGAAAACTATTTGGTTTATTTTATTTTTTTTTATTTTGGTTTAAAGCGGGAAGGGGGGGGGGGGCACACCCGCGCATACGTTCGCCCGCGGAGATGAGAGTGGTGGCAACGCTGGCTCGTGGTTTGCAGGCCCGCATTGCGTTCACCGGTGCGCAATAATGAGTGCTCGCTTTCGCCTAGTGCACCGTGCACGCCGTTCGTCAGCGGCGGGGCAGCTGCGGAAGATGCATGCTTGTACCAAAATGCTGAGCGAAATTCCTAGATTGTCCGTGGGGAAAATTTAATATATCAATATTGTCTCCCGCTGTTACTTTGTTATGTAAAGGTCACAAATACAAGTGCTTTTTGGAGCAACGGCGGAGAATAGAAAAACTTCATTATATCGAGGAATTCGTTACACGGAGGTTTGTTATAGGCAGTTTTAACTGTACAATTCCAAGTTGTTGCTATCCCATTGCTTTGCCCTTGCGACGAAACTGACTTTTGTTAATTTTGGACAACCGTGTCGTCAACCTCGAGGGTATGTCAGGTCAGGCACTGATTGAAACTCTGAGACCACAGTGACAACGGATATTCGGAGGTCGACTCGTTGCGCGCTTCTATCTTGCAGCGCGAGTTCGCAGGCTGGTAGCTTCTGCGATTAGCCAATTCTGGCAACATCACGACGGCGCGTTGAATGGAATGCAATGAACTCAATAGCAAAAACTTGTAATGTTATAAGAACTAAGGCTGGCAGCCAACTCTTTTGGATCCGATATCGCAGAACTCGTGAGCAACGGTCGCTCCAGGGAAAAGTGCTCTTTTCACACAGTCCCTTCGCGTTGAAACTGCACTGATACTCGCCGAGATAGCAAGTGCGCCAGTGATAGTGACCACCTGTAAAATCCAAGTTCTTTATTACTACTCGAGTGATTCCCCCCGCCTCCCTGCGTTGTTTCATGCTCGATCAAGACGGGTAGTTTACTTTCTGTTTGAACATTCAATGGCAGTTCTAACAGACGGGAGATATCTTATGCACTTTTCAGACTATAGGGATGGGTCGGCTCATTTAGTCTCTGCTTCGGCAGCGCTCGCGCGCTTTAATCGCTCGCGAAAGTTATGATGCGCAAGGGCGTGTTATCAATTTGGACTTGTTATGAAGCAAGGCAACGAGGACAAAAACCTGCCAAGACCGTTCATATAATTGCTATCACATTAATAAGGCAGTTTTTTGCTGTAAAATGAGTGTATTAGGTTAGCCCTGTCTTCAGTACCCTTTTTGTTTAATTTGCGCAATTATTTTCCGAATTTTCATACCAAACCTGCCCATAATGAAATCCTCTTTGTAACGATTTTTTGGGGAATTTATCAATTTTGTTATATCTAGGTTTAACTGTATTCTGAAAAGATAAGTTCGAAAGTCCTACTATGCTTTTGAAAGTCCCACTATGCTGATTGATGTTTCATCTATTCTGCAGTTGCTGCTGGCGATGCGTGCCAATGTGGAGGACCGAGGCCTCAAGGATATGACCCCGCTGATGGAGGCGGCCACTGCAGGCCACACTGACATTGTCAAGCTGCTTATAGAACATGGAGCTGATGTCAATGCGCAAACAGCTCAGGGTACATATCAGGCCTTTTTATTTCAATGATTTGCAGGCAGCTGCGCGTGGAAAATATTAAAAAGAAGTCTCTTCATAGCACGGCTCCTTTTTGGAGGTACAGTTAAACCCCTTTATAAGAGGCATGCTCTAAGCAGCAATTCTTGTCTTTTATATGAGATCCCGCTTGTAAGCCAGGCACTGTATACATTTTCTTATCCACCCGTAGTTTACTGTGGGCATACTGGTGTCTCTTTTGTCTCTTTTATCTGTGTCTCATATAAAGGGCTTTGACTGTATCTCTGTTATGTTAGAAAGCTCGCTCATGAGTATTCACTCGCACTTACTCAAACTCGGATCCAGGCATGGTTTGGGTGCACGTTAAATAAACCCAGGTGGTCGAAATTTTCGGAGCCCTCCACTACGACGTCTCTCATAATCCTATGGTGGTTTTGGGACATTAAACCCCACATATCGATTCGATTCAGCCATGATGAGTCAAAGTCTGAGTTAGTAAGGGTGAGTAATATTTTGGTGTGTTTGAGTCCGAGTGATTATAGTTCAAAGTGTGAGTCCGAGTAAGTCTAGCTCTGGTATATTTTGGGGAGTTTGAGTGAGTCAAAAGCAAGATATATTTTTTGAGTGAGTTTGACAGTTTTTTGAGTGAGTTTGACAGTTCCACTTCTATTTTTGCCAACCTATGACCCTATCTACTCATCTTCAGCATCACTATAAGCCTTACATGGATTCATGTTTATACTCGCGTCTACTAACATCTACTCTCACGCATTACAAAGCAGTACCGTTCATTCACCATTGCTCTATTTACTGATCAGCGGCTTGAATTACATAGGGCGGTGCTTTGAACTCCTCTCCACCAACTCTTTCAAGAAAAATGTCCTTAATTTATTCACAGCATAGCACCCCTCCACTGCAATGAAATTACTTTACAGGGAGGTTACATGCAGATTATTGTATTTTCTTGGTTAATTTCTATTACTTAGAAATTTCAGGGATGGAAGTGCTTCAAAGAACATCTTCAGACTCTGCACACATTCGATAGTTTCCATCTGGTGGTGCAAATTTCTGCTGCATCTAATCGGTGACAGCTGCTCAGGGCTGTCTTTCATTGAAATGAGTAGTGGATGCAATTGTAGTTCTTCACTGCATTGATTGGGAGCATTTGGTTTTCAATTCCATTTGCCACTTTGGGAGGTTTACTGGCTGGTGCTATTGTAGCCAGTCTATTCATATGCAAGCTTGGTTCTTTCACAGAGATCTCCCCTTCCATGGATTCAGATGCAGGTATTGGATAAATGCGTCAAACTAAACTGGAGTGTCTGAAAGTGTGGTCCCCAATACAAAGCGCCATGCTGTACAGGGCACACGCCGCTGATGTTTGCCTGCCTTGGTGGCCACGAGTCTGCCGCTCGAGCCCTGGTGGAGGCGGGCGCAAACCTTGAGGAGCACAATGAGAATGGCCACACACCCCTTATGGAGGCTGCCTCTGCAGGGCACGTGCAGACTGCCCGTGTCCTTGTGGCTGCTGGTGCCTCTATAAACACCCACTCCAATGAGTTCAAGGAATCTGCGCTCACGCTCGCCTGCTACAAGGGTATGCTGGCTCTATCCCCTACTTCCTTCACTAACCTTGGTGGTGTAGGTGAATGGGACGGCGAGGGAAGCCGAGATAGCCGCAGTGACAGGAGGGAAATGCTCTTAGATTTGTGCCGTGCTGTTGGTCCAGTTTTTGCTGGTTTAAAGGGAAACTAAGAATAGTATTTAGTAAAGGATTGGGTTAATGCCTGAAAACATCTAAATTCTCAGTTATATCTGCGACAGCGCTTCAGAAATAAAGGTGATTGCCGGACAAAATTTGCACCAGCTGTGGGACATTGTGCGTGGCTTGACTTTTTGACTTTACTTCCTTTCCTCTCTTTCTTCCCTCCTCCTGAAAGAGTGAGCAGGCTCTTTCACTTTTGCCGGGTTCTGCTGTGGTTCCTCAGTCATATCTCTGCAATAACTGTGTTGCTATGTACTTCTGCATGGGCTTTCTCGTGAAACTCACTCTAAGTGCATGTTAGAAAAAGAAAAGTCACTTTCACATAATGTCTCTGAATGACTAGATTGTGTGCGTGGCTTGACTTCCTTTCCTCTGTTTCTTCCCTCTTCCCGCAAGAGTGAGCAGACTCTTTCACTTTTGCTGGGTTCTGCTGTGGTTGCTCAGTCACATCTCTGCAATAACTTTGTTGCTATGTACTGCTGCACGGGCTTTGCTTTTTCGTGAAACTCGGTGCATGTTAGAAAAAAAAAAACTTTCACGTAATGTCCCTGAATGACTCTATTGTGTGCGTGACGACTAACAGGCATGGCTTACCACTGGGTTCCTCTGGAAACCACTACACATAAAAAGCATTAGTGCTGCACCTCTGCAACTGTAAGATAAACCAAAAGATCTGCTTTTTTTCTTGTTGCACTTTTCGCTTGGAGGGTCAACAAACCTTTAACCCTTTAATGTCTGAATTATGAAACTGCAAAAAAAAAATAAAAATAAAAATTGTTTTTTTTTTTTTCCAGCTTTAAGAAGCAACCTTTAAATCAGTGGTTCTCAAACGGGGGGTCCGCAGATCCTAGGGGGTCCGCGAAGCCATTTCTATGATTCGCGAAACCCTCACCCGCATTTTTCGTGACTTTGCCACGTATATATGAACTGTCCAAAATGAAGTGATGTGGCAAGTTTATTTGATGTTGTTTTGGTAGCAATGAAAGGTAGGCTTGTGCAAATATTCGAATAATAATATTCAAATTAATAGTAGAGTATTCTTTTCAATTCCAATTTAAATTATTGAAAATTTCGAAGTACTCGCGATGAATGAATAAATGTATATTAATTTGCATGTAACGGCTTGTAAAGGTGGTTTTGCTGCAATGTCAGAGTGCTAGGCCGTGAAAGCACCTATCTAGGGAAAATCTGCTTCGCCGTGAAGCCCTCCTGCAAATTTAAAGGGGCCCTGCAACACTCTTTGAGCACAGTCCGAAAATGCTCCCGATCAGTAATCCAGGCTTCCAAGAAAACGCGAGCCAAATATATAGCGCAGTACTCTACCTGCGATTCACAGCAAATTCTCAAAGCCATCTGAAAATTGCTCTCTTCTCTCGACAAATGACACCATGAGCTCAAAAATCATTCATCACAGCTATTGTATCGGCCATTGGCTGATTTAAGGGAGGACATGGGTCTTTAAAATGTTTTTCCTGTTTTTGGCTCAATCTTGACCAAACCTCACCATCTTGGACAGTTTTTCATGCTGATTTCAAATATGTAATTGTTTCTGAAATAGCTTCAGTGGATAAAAAGATATTAACATCTGTAATTTAATTAATTATGCACTTCATTGGGGGCTTTTTGGCAACTTAATCAAGCCAGATCCAAAAAATAAATGCATAGCCCCAATGCTGAGGGCTTTCTGTATGGGGTGACGCTATTTTTATTGATTTTTAGGCATTATATAGATAAGAAAACAGACCAGCACTTACAATGGATATTCTGTTCAATTTTCGCTCATTACTACCCATAATTGTAGTTAACAGTATGCTTCTAGAGTAATCAAAATAGCATCACCCCATAGGTAATGTTATTACAAATAAAATTATATCAAGTTTGTCATTCTCAATCAACTGTAACATAAGAAAAACCCCTAAGGTTTGTGTGGTGCACAAAAACATCGAACTGAGAGAAACGCATTTAAAGTTTCTATTAACTGTAACTTTTGCTAAAGTGAAGCTAGAGCAATAAAAATGGCACCGTTGTATAGCTCTACATTATGTGAGTATGGCTGTACCAAATGTGTCAATGCACCTTCCCAAAATATTTGCCACAGCTCATTTAAAAACTGTGTACTGGCCGTTGAATCAGTATAAGGAACCCAGTCTACAACTTTGTGGCTGTTCTAGTGCACTGAAAACCAAAGGAAGACACATGTTATATATAAAAACATCGCCCTTTTATACATAAAACACTATTTCAAGTAAAACACACATTTTTGTCCCAGACATCCTTCATCAAAGCGCTGCCTCGGCCATCTCCGGCGTTCTCGGCGGCGCGCAGGCCGCTCCCTTCTGCCGCGCATTCGACGCTCGCTTTCGTTTCCTGCCGAAAGCTTGACGAGTGTTCTTCTTCAGGCGAGCTTCCCAAGCCATGCCGGCGAAATGCAGAAAGACGTATACGTCGGTACACGAGCGGGTAGCAGATGAGATAACACGCACGAGAGCAGGCGCCGACGAAGCAAAACCAAACAAACAAACAAACAAAAGAGCGAGCAACCGTGGCCGCGCCAGCCAATGGTAAGCGCGAGACGGGGTGGGGGGGGGGCACGCCGGCGCGCGCGCGCTCTAGCCAATCAGCGGTCCGGCAGACGGCTTCGCAAAACGGGGGAGGGCAGTCGTGTTGGAGCTACGCCATTTTGAGAGCCCGCAAAACGCGCACAAAGGAACCAGCTTCAAAACAAGCCCAAGATGGCGCCGATCCGCCGGCTGTTTCGCTGGCGGCGCGCGCGGGAAGTCTGAACAAATTTTCTGTTTTGCGGGTTGTTTTGCGACTCCCGTGATGGTTTGAAAATAGATTTTAACCTATTTTTTTATCGAATTTAGCGTTAATAATTTGAGGAGAGGTGCTTATAGGTTCAAAGATTCGAAAAATGCGTTTTTCTAAAAATCGCTTTTTTGGCCATTTTTTACTTTTCTAAGACCCGCGCCCCCCCTTAAGATGGCGCGCTCGGTCGTCGCTGGAGCCGCATTGGAAGGCCGTGACGTGTCCAGACGTGCGGGCGCGATCACACTGAAAAGCCGTGTATTCTAAGAAAAAAGAAAAAAAGAGATGCTCAAGGTCACGAGGTGCATGTGACGTATTTTCTTTCGCCGTGCCATTCCTTTAATTAGCTTCCAGCTATTTTGTCGGGACAACAGAGAGAATTAAATTGCAGCGTGTGACTAATTTTTGGAACTCCGCCGCTCGTACTGGACTGTTTCTAAAAATTTTGCAGTGGTAAATTTGCGAGGCAACAAGCTTTACTGGCTTCGTGGCTACTTGAAAAAGTGTTGCAGGGCTCCTTTAAGTGAACATGTTACCCTCAAATCGTCATTTTATTAAGCTTAAAAGCTTGTTATGACAACTTGTATGCTCTAAGTATAATAAAATTTAAAATGTTACCTATTTTACAGGTTATCACTTGCATTTTACCGAAACTGATACCCGCTACTACTCAAGGTTGTTTCGACTTCCTGTAAACGAAAAAAAAAAAAAAAATTGACTTCCTGTGAACGGAAAAGAAATTTAAAATGTTACCTATTTTACAGGTTATCACTTGCATTTTACCGAAACTGATACCCGCTACTACTCAAGGTTGTTTCGACTTCCTGTAAACGAAAAAAAAAAAAAAATTGACTTCCTGTGAACGGAAAAGAAATGACATTTGCATAGAGGCATTATTTCAATATAAAAATATATTGTGCTGGTTAGTTAGGTCATGATAAATATGCCCATTTTTCTTTGTATGTCATATATACTATTCAAAATCGATTCAAAATTATTAGACCAAAGTCACTGTTCGCTTTACATTCGTTTCAAATCTAAAATTCACTATTTCCACAAGCCTAATAAATAGCACCTGTTTCACGCTCCAGTTGTGTAAATTTACCTACGTAACCCCCCCCCCCCCCCCCCGCCCCCTCTTCCTCCGAACGCTCCGCTGCAAGGGGTCCTCCATTATTTCTGCCAGTCTGCAAGGGGTCCCCGACTCATCAATGGCTGAGAACCACTGCTTTAAATGATTCCACACTTAGATTATCTAAAATGCACCTTTAATGCATTCTTGGACCTTGCAATGAAAGTCTTGGACCTTGCAGTGAAAAGTGCACTTCAGAACTAGATAACATGTCATGTGTCATCTCTTGAGTGCATACACACCAAAGAAATGAAGTTATTGAAGATAGAACTTGCGTCAGCTAGGCGAGAAAGAACGAAAAAGTGAGTGCTCTTGCACGCCCTTCACGCTTTCTACTATCAGCTACAAAACAATTTGTTCTAGCATAAAATATATTACTCAAGATAGCGCTAGATTTTTCATGCTGAAAGCTACGTTCTCCATGAGTACTTCTATGATTACGCATTTTGTGACTTGCTTGCTCGCAGTTTTTCGGTATGTCGCGAATTCGCGACATGAGGCAGCAAAGGGTTAACTAACGTAAGCAAGCGGTGTGAGGTGCTGTTCTGTTAAAGTAGTTCCACGCGCTTTCCGCACAACCGCAACGCACGTGCCGAGACACCTGTCGCACGCAAGTGGCGGACAAATAAGCCAATTAGCAATGCTCTTTCACCCTCCGCAGCGTCGCCAATTGGCTTATTTGTCCCCCGCTTGCATGCGTTGCGGCTGTGCGGCACATGCGTTGCGGCTGTGCAGAAAGCGCGTGGAACGGCCCTTACTCTTGTTAGCATGCTGCACTCCTTGTCTGTGAAATGGACCAAGTAAAAAATAACTTTTTTTTAGGTTTTAAACTAAACTGTGTGTAAAAAAAGGCTGTCTCGTATAGTCATGAGCAAATTTAGCCATAAATGGCTACTTGCAAATCTGAATATATGGAGGCAATATTAGTCATAAATTTAAGAGTACAGTGCAAGTTTGCAAGGGCACACCCCAACACTCTACACCATACAGTTTACTGGTCCATAAGAGTGCCATTGTTTCTTGTCTTGTAAGTTTTCCTAGCATACGCAGCCTCGAAACTCTAGGAAGACCACTGGTGTTCTAGCCTGTCTGGTCTTTGTACACAATAAAGTTTTTGTACTACTCTACTATTACTACTAAATGTACAATGCCTTGTACCTGCCTTTCGAACATTTGTTTTACAAGTTGCAAATAAAACTTCAGCGTACTAGAATTCACAGGTTCCGTGATAATAGGAATAAACATTAAGAACATAAAAACACTCTTCTTTGTGACTTGTTTGAGCAGTAACTACCTTATGTAATGCAGTCTAATGCAAAGTTTTAGGGGCTAGGGGCTGCATTTTTAAAATGTTTTTTCTGGTTGCCTAAATGTCCTTGTGCAAATGCCTAGATAACAACACTAGCTTTTGGCTTCAAGATGACTTGAAGGTCGCGACGTCTGGAGCTGAATGCATTTCATGCTTTATAAGCAGGGCTATAGATACGTATGGCTGCTTTTGTGAACCGTACTGATAAGTGCCTCGAAGCCTACTAAGTTGTTGGGGGCCTTCTGCTAGACACCTTGGAAGGGATGAACACTGGTCCAGTGAGGATCACAAGAGCGAAGGTACTGCACAGGTGTCATGGCGTACATAAGTTGATTGTGACGTACTACAGTGGAACCCTGTTCATAAGTTTTTCAGTGGACCGAGTAGCAAAAATGTAACAGCCGAGAAAACACATGGGTGAGGAAAGCTTAGAAAGTTAGAGTACAGGCGCTTTCGCTACAAGCAGTTTATTTTGGCAAGGTGAGCCTATGACTTATAAGATTCGAACATAGTTGACTACCGCTTCTTTCGCTCGCTGGTAAGCACCGCACGTTTCTTAATAATTTGGAAGGCGGCATTGCTTTCAGTGTCGCTTTGGTGTGCGACGTAGCTGAGAAAATAGTCCAGGGCCGCAACGACCTCTCCAAAGTTGAGATCGGCCAACTCTTCAGAATCGTGTGGCTTGTGCTTTTCGTCGTCATCGATGTCCCCGTCTTCAGTTGTGATGGAGTTTGCAACAATCTCTGTGATTGTGCGGCACTCCATCACGATGGCGGCATCCACAGCGATGTACCATATTTACTCGCGTAATCCTCGCACTCACATAATTCTCACACCCCCCTCATGGCCCAACAAAAATGCGATTTTTTTTCCTTGAGTAATTATCGCAGCCCCGAAAACTGCCGTAATAATGTCGTCTGCTCGTTCCAGCCACTGATGATGATTGCGCGTGTCATCTGGCGCCATCTCCTAAGCATCAAGCGTACTATTGCACGGAGATTCAATCCGATCCAAGCCAAGCTGAAGTGGCCAGTGCACGTTGCGGCGTGTTTCGTTTGTTGTGTCGGTAATCATGGCACATTATGGGGCGATACTGAAGCTACAGGGCTGCTTTCAAGTTGAAAGTGATTGATCATGCACTAAACAACGGCAACAGGGCCGCTGGTAGGCACTTCGGAGTCTACGAGTTTTGTGTTCGCTACTGGTGGCGGCAGCTGAAAGCCACCAAGACGCGTTGAGCCTGCCGTGTGCCTTAAACTGCGATTGATGGTAAACTTTATTTCTTCAGAAGGAAACTGCAGATGATTCTGTTAAATAGCCATCAGCCCAATACTGACGTCCTACGCTTACCTTTTGAGGGCTCCTGTTGAGCGACGAATGCTACCGCTACGCCCGCAACGCCCACAAGCTTTGCATATGGTATTCTAATTCTTGGCTATTTGCTTGCACTTTTTGTGTCTCAAATCTTGCCTTGTGTTGAACCTGTGCTTTTATTGATGACGTAATTATTAATTAGTACTTCTCAAAGCTTGCTGTTTGTTGATGGTGTGAGAATCCCGATTTGAGGCCACTTCGTTTTCTTTTTCGGGGAAAGTTGTCCTGCATAATTCTCGCACCCCCCAACTTTGCGTCGGTCTTCCGCCAAAAAAAAACTGCGAAGATTATGTAAGTAATAGGGTAGTTGTCGTTCGTCGTACCCGTGGCACCCAGCGCATTCATTGTCGCATTGAGTTTTCGCTCACAAGAGGCTGGTTCCGATTGTTGAGCTTTGATGGCAGTTCCCCTTCGCTGTCCATACGGATCCCACATCTCGCGAAGCAGTGCTCTACAGTTGACGCACTCAGTGCACTCCACGCTTATGTGACGTAATACATGGCGTCGAGTACTGAAATTGTCTTCGAGACGATGCGGTTGAGCGTTGACGGTGGCAGTCCAAGGCAATGTCGACCGTTTTTCGCACTGGCTGCTTGTCAATTGCTTTAAGTACGTTGTTATGCCTTGGAGTCCAAACCGAATTTCATTGCTTCTGCGAATGCAACCAGCGTCAAAAACAGCGAGCGAGCCCGGCTTATGCAATCCCAGCATCTCTGGCATGCTTCTGCAGAAAACTTGCAGCGTGTGCTACGAAAACAACACCGAAATGACTCTAAACAGACAGACTATGTTCCTGGAGGGTACTGATGCTAGGCCATTTGTGAACATTGTAAATAGTTTGTGATTTTCTGTATTAAATATGAGCCTATTTTGTTTTTTGACGTTTTCTCAGAATGTCATTTTCGATGTTTTTGAAACTTGCCAAAGCGATATCTTGGTCTTGAGGTCACATAGAGCCACAATTCTTGTGGTGGCATGTAGCTACATATGTCTCCTACACAAATGTAGGAACAGATTTTTCAATCTAGTCTTTCTAAATTTTTATTCTTGGTACTAATTTAATCGCTTGATAGAGATATCTGGAGATTAAACTTCAAATTGCTATAAAATTGGTAATACTTGTAATATTAAAAAAGTAATCCTACATTTGTGTTAATTACACTTCATAGTATCTAGCCATATGTCAATATTAATATTCTGGCCAATAATTGCCTTTCCATTGTTCTGATAAACAATATAGGATTAATTTTAATTATCTCTGCAACTGGCCAACCAATTTCAAAAGCAATTATATTTTTGAAATCAGCTTGAAAAACTCTGTCTGGGTTACAATTTTCATTGAATTTGGTCAAGAAATATAAAAAAAAAATTTAAAACCCTCTTCCCCCCTTAAGCAATGTGCGGCAAGCTCCCTCCACCCACGGGTTCGATCCAGCCCGATGATGCAGTAAACATCATCTAGTCCAACGCGTGGTAATACCGCTCACCCACGGGTGCAAGCCAGCAGTGGTTCCTGATCGGAGGCTGCTGACGCAAGGGTTCCCCAAGGCCTATAAAAGAACCAAGTGACGCAACAAGAAGCAGCAAACGCGAGCATCGGAGAGCATCCGAAGAAATACGGGGTCCACGTCGAACCTCAGTGCGAGCTCCTTAAGCTGTTGGCCCTAATGCCGAATATGTAACTCCTCTATGATCTACATAAATGTTGCCTTAACTCACTGTTGCCTTGTCCGCTTCGTCTATCAGCTCTGCGCTGAAGCAGCTGCGGTGAGAGCGGTGCGTTACCCAACAAAGCCCAGCTTTTTCTCAAGGGAAAGCACTGTCCACTTACGCGACGCCATTCAGGCTTGACAAAGATTGCGTTGACAAGTTTAACGGTAACAGTCTCTGCGCACACAACAGCGACTGAAGACAAGTCACAGCGTGCGGCTTTGGGACTGTCGCGCACTTTTAGCATTCCGTAGTGAAACTTTCGTTCCTAGCACAGTGATGGTGATAGCACTTTTAACAAACGGCTGACTAAGGGCGGCCTCTCCTACTCGCCTGCGGCTTCTTGCAGCCTGTTTCTTAGCCAAGGCCGGCCAAGACTGTCAAACGTCAAATCAAAATTGCAGTTTTTGGGCGGGTTGTGCGGACTAGGTTGCGACGCGTCATGCGGGAATGTTCTCACAGTTTCGACGTAACAGCAAGGTTCGCAATACATGGGATTCTATGAGAGCTATGCCGGGATCGGTGAAAGACAACTCACAGTTTCGACGTAACAGCAAGGTTCGCAATACATGGGATTCTATGAGAGCTATGCCGGGATCGGTGAAAGACAACGTAACAGCTCAGAAAACACAGCAGTGAGGAACGTAACAGCGGGGTTCCTCTGTTTCTTTAGGGCATAGCACAACAGCTACATGAGCACAAGCTCACTGTACAGCACACTCATAGAGTGGCCGAGCTTTTGTACTGACACCTGGATCAGATGCAGCTCTAAGACACTGCACAGTGATGCATAAGTATCAATTGCTTCCTTGTAATAATTGTGCACTGAATATGCTGCCAAACAAGCAAGAGACTGGCAAAGCATAAGAAAACAGACATCAGAGAAATTATGGCAAGGCATTTCTGGTGTTGATGCATTGCTTCTAAAGCATGGCAAGCGCTGGCTTAAATGAGCAGCACAGAGCGGGCATGGTGAATGCTGTGCCACACTTTCCCTGCTTGGTTGGAATGGGTGGTCTGAATTGCGCTAACATTTTGCAGGCCGCTAAAGTGAGATATTCTTTGCAATTACGCATTTTCTTGGCATGAACAAAGCACTTTCTGGAATAGTTGACAAGAGTATGAAGTTGAATGTGTTGGTAATACATAATTAATAATGTAGCGTGTAAAAACTGCGAGACACAGGACGAGAGAAAGAACAAAGAGGAGCACTCTTCTTTTTGTTCTTTGTCTCACCGTGTTTACGTGCTAGGTTCCTAGTTCTAGTATAGTATTTTAACTGTCCATGTCAGGTAAATAGTGTCCTTCTGTGTCCCTTTAAGGAAAGGCACTTGACAAGTAGTGAAATGACTGTTCTTCCCCTTTCTGAACACTGCACTGTCTTTGGCTGTTCTGTTGCCTTCAAATTACCTGGTTGAGCTAGCACAGTGGTGGCATGGCTCAAAACATTTCTTTTTCTTGTGCTGCGTGTGTGTGTGCAGGGCACCTCGAAATGGTACGGTTCCTTCTTGAAGCGGGCGCTGATCAAGAGCACAAGACAGATGAGATGCACACTGCCCTCATGGAGGCCTCCATGGATGGACATGTCGAGGTGGCTCGGTTGCTGTTGGACTCCGGTGCTCAAGTAGGATTACATTATTAGCGCAAATTTTGGAAAAAGACAGATTAGAGGGGAAAGAAAAGGTAGGAGGAAGCATAGAATTCGGCACTAAATATCCTAAATCTTACTCATGGTTACATTTGCTCATCTTCGGTTCTCTGTGGGCAGTTGGGCGAATTTTCGACATTGTGTAGGTAATCGTCTTTTTCAAGACATTTAATGGTCAATGTAATGAAAAAAATTTAAATGTGCTTAAGTGGCCCAACTATGTAAAAAAAAAAATCCACCTTTGAAGTGCAATTGTTATACAGTCGAACACGGTTATATCAAACCCACATATAAAGAATTTTTGGTATATCAAACTCGCAAGTTATCCCCTTGAAGTTCCTTTGTAAAAGTATAGAAATTTGCGTGTTTATATAGAACGCTATTTTTACCTGCCTTCGGATATATAGAACGCTGCGCGAGCTGGAAAGTGCGTTTCGGCACTCCCCCCCCCTCCCCCCCCGCGATCTCCGTGGCAGCGTGGCTCCGCGCACGAGTTGAAAAGCGCATTTTGGCACTCGCAGCGCCCAGCAACTTCCGCGCGGCACCACGCCTCCGCCAAAACTCGAAACGCTCGAAAAAGGGTAAGGGCGATAGGGCTCGGACTCGGACAATCTCTAACTTGCTGAACGGCTTCTTTTTTTTTGTTTCTCTTTATTTCATGCTTTCTCCGCATACCTGTTGGCTCGGAGAGCAGGCACAAAGGAGCCCCCGTCCTGCTCCTTTCGCCTTTTTTTTTTTATTTTTCGTTCCTGTCTTTCGCTGTTGCCCTCGCAGGTGTCCATCACCTTGTGAGCGCTTAATTGCTTCTGCTGTCACATCGCCTACGTACCACTGCATGTGCAGTATTTTTCTTGTGCGTGCATTGTGTGCAAAGCCACTGTGGACTCCTTGAATTGTTGACTTCTCGTGTAGCTATGGTCAGCGTCAGGAAGCGCAAGACCCTTGACTTTGCGTCGAAGTTAAAAGCTAGTCAGCGTGTTGAGGCTGGCGAGAAATGTTTGAGTGTAGATGGACGACTTCGATATTCCACGGAGCTTCAGTAGTTCTCAAGTTACATAATGCTACACAATCCAATTACATGGTCTGCTCGTGGAAAGCCTAGCGCTGCAACAAAACATGCCAGGAAGCTGCGAATGGTGTTGATCTTTACTCAAAAGAAAGCTACAGGGTATGACACTCTCAGAATTTTTTAGTAAGTTCTCGTTTTTTTCTAGAGATCATCATGGCTGCCGACACACATTGTCAGAAAAAATGGCACGGACAAATCATCGTCTAGAAAAATAACAGGGCCACAAAACAGAAATTGAAGATTGCTGTACCCACAAGCAGTGTTCAGGGATTCAGGGAAAAAAAACAGAATCAAAATCGGTCCAGTCATTCTCCTGCTACTCTTTCCACGAGCAATGCACAATGTCCAAAACACACTTGTGAGAAAAAGCCTGTCGAAGTTTTCGACAGGCTTTTTTTCATTGAACTTTTTTGTTTCTCGTTGGATATTGATGAAAATTGGCACAGACACTAAGAATAACCTCACAGTGCTTCCATAAAAATTTTGAAGTGATACCACGAATACTTTACGAGAAACAAATTATTTCTTCATTGAACCATGTAGAGGGGCTGAGCATAATGTCAAAAAAAAAAAAAAAAACAGTATTGAGAAAGCTGCGTTTAAAGTTTCAACTTTTCTTTACGTCTCTAAGACACCTAAAAATTGTGATCTCAGGTTTGTCTTTAGATATTTGACTTATTTTCATGTGTGATAGGTATGACAGAAAAGATTGTAATTGAACAAAACCATATACTGAAATTATTAAACATACTTTTTTGTGCTGAAGTTGTAATTAGCGTAATTAAGTACTTGATTACAAATATTCACTGAACTTTTTTTTATTTGGAGAGAAGTTTATTGCATCAGAAAAATGGATCACACCATGACGGCCTATGCCTTCTTTCTAAATAACAAAGTTATGGGCAGAAGACTGGTGGCACGGGAATTTCTAGCAGTATAATTAATGACACAAAACGGGCATATAAAAATTCGTGCCCCTGATTCACACATGCTCTTTCGCCGCTCTAGCCGTGAAACGCATCATCATACAGCCGGTCGCGGAAACTCTAATCTACAGCAATTCATTAACCTCGGAACATTCATAGATGTTCGTGGCGATATCAAGCACGGCTCCAAGCACGTCTGAATCGCATCACAAAAGCTTACTGACGGCACTCCATATGACCGTAGGGTGCGCGGCCGCGTGGACAGTGCAGCCGGCGCGTAATGCACTTGCCGGCGGCGTTCGATGACGATGCGCGAAATGTGTAACTACGAAGACAAAAAATCGGCACGCACTGCACTTGGCATCGCATTTTCGAATGACGACGCGCGAAACTACTAGCCGCTGTTCCGAGCGATCCTTGGCAGTGAGGGGGGGGGGGGCGACTAGCTTGACTGTGTTGTCGGCTGCCGATGCGTAAAATGCCCGTACAATATTCAGAGGAGCTAGCGAGTGATGTGGTACATTCCTTGCGAAGAAGCACGTCACCAAGAGTGCGCTTGCGCATTGTTCCTGCCCGCAGTTTCGCTGTCAGCGGAGTTAGGCCTAAAGCCGACTCCGATGACGCGCCGCACTCGTAGACCGCCGCGCGCCCGGTCGTAGTAATCTGATCGTGCATCCGGTGCGGCCACTCGTAGTAATCAGATCGTGCCGCCGCTTACAGCTTCGTTGCTCGCGAAGAAGCACGTCGCCGCGAATGCGCTAGCGCGTCGTTCCTGCCTGCAGTCGGCGGAGTTGGGGCTAAAGGCGACTTCAATGACGCGCGGCGCTCGTAGACCGCGCTGATGCTCGTAGTAACCTGATTGCGCATCCGCTTACTGCTCCTAACTAAAGCGTAGTTATATCTTAAGTGATTACCAGGCCGTGAACACGTCACCAAGTGGCGATTTTCGAGAGCCATGTCCTCGCGACGCACAAGCAGCAGACGACGATCTCCTGGAGCAAGCATCGGGCCAATGGCGAGGCGAGCTGAGGCAACATGGCGGCCACGGCCAATCAAGGGCCTAAAAACGACCTTCAAACATTTGCTTTTTGCTCGCTTGTTGTTAAAGGGAGGAGCCAGCTGAGGCGGGAAAGTTAAACACGGAGAAATGCTCTTTCCGATGAGCCCAAGAAGCCGGCTCCCGGCCCAAGCATACCGAAGCTATTATTTTTTGAAAATCGCCGTTTTCTCGCCATTTCCAGAAAAATTTTTTGCCTTCTAGGTGGGTGAAACGAATTTTCCGAAGCACTTCTGCGCGGTTTTCAGTGTAGATATTTTGGAACCAGATAGAAAAAGGGTTCCAGAAACTGAAAACGTTAGTTTCAAAAAATCAATTTTTTTGCCATTTTTCGCGATCCCAAAGCCGCGTCCCCCCTTAAGGGGGGACGCGTCTTTGGCATCGCGAAATTTGGCCAAAAAATCGATTTTCGGAAAATCTCATTTTCACATTCTGTGACCCCTTTTCTATCTAATTTCGAAGTTTCGTCCCTGAAAACAGCGTAGAAATGACGTAAAAAATTTTTATCGGAGCTAGGGTGGCGATGAATTTCACGGAAATTGCGAAAAAACGGCGTTTTTCGAACCGCGATATCTCCGGAACCACGTAACCTAGCGCCGCCATCTTTGTCTCTATGGATAGCGCGATTCTTCCGTTTCAAATTTGCCGCCTCGGCCGGCTGAACCAGGCAAGAGCAAGCCCACAGCAAGCCCACAGCAAGCCAAAGTGTAAAGGTATCACAACAGTTTCCGATTGGCGACGCGCGTCACGTGACTGTACGGCAGCTCCGCATTGGTCGCCCGTGCGGTCGCTTGTAGCAATCGGCGCAAATGTCGTCTGCTCTATGCGCTGACAGCGCTGACGGGCCGCTTACTGCATTTGTTTTCAACTCGTTGCGGCGTGGTTTCCTGTGGTCGCTTATAGCAATCGGCGCAAAGGTCGTCTGCTCTACGCGCTGACGGGCCGCTTACTGCATTTGGTTTCAACTCGTCGCGGCGTGGTTTCGAGATCGCATCGCGCTGCGATAATACCGGCGCTCGTGAAAGGAGAAAAACGTTGTTATCCAGTTTGGCGCATTGCAGTTTTGAGATCAGTTCCCGCATGCGATCATGGACCGGCGATCGTTCGAGAAGAAACGCAAGACTGCGCAGCGATTTGGTGCTCGTAAGCCGAAGCCGCCGATCGTGAAAAAGAAATTCAGTCCGGCAACTTCTGCGAGCAGCGACGACGGCGTGCGGCGTGACGAGGACTCGCAGCCGAGCACAAGCACGCACGGAGCATCGTCCGCGAGCATCGACGAAACTGTTCATATGCCTGTGGAGCAGTGCTTTGTGCTGTCTGAGGAAACATCCGTTCGTCGTTCCGCGCAGGCTGCAGACATCGCGGATGCTAAGCCTAGCACTTCGCGCAAGGATGTATTCATCGCGGATGCCCAGCCAAGCACTTCGCGCGAGGATGTAGATATCGCAGATGCTCAGCCAAGTACTTCGCGCGAGGATGCGAGGCCGTCTACCAGCACCACCAGTAGCACGATTCGGGCCCGATTAGAGCCTCGTTTCGTGTCAGCGGAGGCATCTCGCGAACGCGCCGCGGCTGTTCAGGAGTCCCTAAGAGCAGTGTCTGCGACGGAGTGCAAGATGTCTCTGATGGACCAAGGGGACGAGAGCGACATCGAAACGGAAGACGAAGATGAGTTTTTCCTCGTGCAACGCGCGGCCCTGAAGGGTCTGTTTGGCAGTGCCCTGTGCCCGCAGTGCAAAGAGCCGGGACTCAAGATGAAGCACGGAACTAAGCACGGGTTAGCGGTAAAGATGGTGCTCACCTGCACTGCTTGCGACGCGGATGCGAAAAATGCGTGGTCGCCGCCGCGAATGGAAAACAGCAAGTCATTTGAAGTAAATACTCGGGCCATGCAAGCTATAAAAACTATTGGAAAGGGATCAGCTGCACTCAGTGATTTTTGGTCTGTGATGAATGTATCACATAGGGGAATTCACCACAAGACTTTTTAAAGGCATCTCAAGGGGGAATTTCGGCCTGCTGGCGCAGCAGCGCGGCACGTGTGTTTTGCGACGCTGTTGCAGCCGTTCGCAATGTGTACAGCCAAATGGAAGGAACACCCACCAAGAATGTCACGGTGGTGTACGACGGGACGTGGATGACACGCGGCCACGCGCCCCACATCGGCGTGGGCACGGTCATTGAATTCTACACTGGATTAGTGCTTGACATTGTTGTCCTGTCCAATTACTGTCATGGATGTGCTGTGGGCCCCAAAGAAGGCGACGACGGCTACAGTGAATGGAAGGAAGCACATGTTTGCCAGAAAAACACAGAGGCAAACTCGGGCCAAATGGAAGTCGAAGCGGCCCTCATACTGTTTCGGCGCTCACTAAAAAAAAAATGACCTGCGCTACACAACCATCGTTTGCGCTGGCGACAGCCGCACTTTCTTAGCTCTGTGTCAGGACCAGACTTACGGTTTTATACCCCTGAAGAAAGAAGATTGTATCAATCATGTTAAAAAGAGGATGGGCACAGCCCTGCGGGCCATCGTCACAAAGAGCAAGAAAGACCAACCTATCGGCGGAAAAGGTGGCCTTACACAAAATTTGATCAAGCAACTGACTGCCTATTATGGCCAAGCCCTTAGGCAGCATGCTGAAGTGGAGGATATGCGGCGAGCGGTCATGGCTACATTCTACCACACCACTTCGACTGACCAGGATCAACACCACGAACTTTGCCCACCAGGTCCTGATAGCTGGTGCAGACACCGGGCTGCAGAAGCTAAAGGTGAACCGCAGCCACCCCATAAGTACTACCTGGGACGACACCTTGCCGCTGCCCTGCTGCCTGTGTACCAGCGACTTTCGGACCCACAGCTTCTTGCGCGGTGCCAGGGCAAAAAAAACTCAAAATGCTGCCGAAAGCCTGCACTCAATTATTTGGTCAATTCTGCCCAAAGAAGAGCATGCTTCATTGATAGCCGCAGAAAGTGCTGTCAGTGAAGCAATCTGTAGGTGTAATGCTGGGAACCTCCATGCCTACACCCAACTTTGCACGTCTCTTGATCTCCAACCTGGATGCCATGCACTTCGTAGAGCAGACGAAAAAGATGCCATGCGGAAAAAAAAGGCTGCGAAAGCTCATCAGGCTAAAGGTCAGATGGCCAAGCGACGCCGCACTGCAAAGGACACTAAGGACTACAACCCTGGTGCCTATTAGGCATGTAAACCGTGACTCAAGACTTTGAACCTTGTTTTCTCAATACTGTTTTTTTGGCATGTTGCTCAGCTCGTGGAGCAGATATCTTTTCAACTACTTGACAGATTTTGATTGTTTTTTTTTTTTGTAATGCTCCTTGAACTGTGCTTCAGGGGGCTGCGTTTTTATTTTTAAAATTTAGTCTTTTAAAAATTTTTGGTAGGGTTTCTTGTTTGTAGTGCAAATGTGCTCATTGAAGTATCAGTGGAGAAAACATGAACTACAAATTTTAGTGTTGCAAAAAAATTATTTTGAAAACGCAGCCCCCTAGAGCATACATTCACCTCTGCACACAGTGTTTACCAACTTTCTATGTCATTTTTTAAACTCTCCAGCCGCTCCACGAGGTCCAGTAATGAAATTATTTCTTTCTCAGAAAGTTTTCATGATATCATCTTGAAATTTTTATGGAAGCATTATGAGGTCATTTTTAGTCTCTGTGCCAATTTTCATCAAGATCTTACCAGAAACAAGAAAGTTCGTTCCGAAAGGCACGTCCCCCCTTAAGGCAAATGCTGCGGAGCAGCAAACGTCAGGAGCCTGTCATGTGCATGCTTCTGCCTACGGGAATGTAGAAAAGGCACTCTTTGCCTGGTTTTTACAAGTGCGCGTGAAGAACATTCCGGTGGATGGCCTGATGCTGATCGCCAAGGCCAAATGGTTTGCCGCTGCACTCGGTGAAACAAACTCAGTGAGACAACAGCGTGTGGCTTCACTGATTTAAGCAGTGCTACAACATCGCGGAAATTCGTAGCAGTGCTACAAATCTCCGGGAAGTTTTCTTCCTTGGGATACCTTCAATGCCTGGAGGGACGTGAAGATGGACACAGTGGTCAACCGCTTCCTTAAGGCAGGCTTCCAGACAGCGAACTTGTGGAAGCCGGTGAAGACCACGACGACGCGTTTCGCGAGTAGTCCCGCTTTCCGGCAGCAGTTCCACAAGAAGTGCCTGCGGACGACTTCGTGGAAGCGGACTGCAACGTCCAGGCCAAGGAAAATCGTCTGGATGGTGCGTTCCAGGCCGGCAGCTCATGTGACAAGGAGAATCGTCTGGATGGTGCGTTGTCTACACGTGCATACTCTGCCGCTGAAGTGGCGGCAGCGTTCGGCATCATTCGCCGTTGTATTGGCCGCATGGAGGGAACCGGGCTGTCGAACCTAGACAGCCTTGATAAGATCGAGACTACTATCTTCAAATTTTCAAAAACGAAGAAGCAGGCTAAGATTAGCAATTTTTCTCATGCAAAAAAATTATGTTGCGGCGTGTCTATGGAATTAGTTGTCATTCTTTAATGCACCTCTTGTAGGTGATTATCCGCTACAGGTAAGCTCTCGGGGCCTCTATTATTTTATGTCAAGTTTTTTGTATATCAAACTAATTTGCGATCTCCTTCAAGTTCGATATATCCGTGTTCAACTGTATCGGTCAAGCGCCAGTTCTTTCTTGCTCTTAGCAAGTGGTAAACGCGTACCATGCGGGAGTTGGGAAGCCCAAATTTATAGCAAGCACTAAACATGGAAGGAAGTGAGCTTATCATCCTGCAATGTTTATGTAATAAGTTTTCTTCAATGACTGTATGTTCAGTGTTTTCCCGTGGCAGATGTAGTGTAGTGCCTGTAGAAGTGTTCTTGTGATTGTGAGGGGTTTTCTGTGAATTGTAGGTGAACATGCCGACCGACAGCTTTGAGTCACCTTTGACATTGGCAGCCTGCGGGGGCCATGTTGAGCTGGCCATGCTACTCTTGGAGCGGGGTGCCAATATCGAGGAAGTGAATGACGAGGGCTACACGCCACTTATGGAGGCTGCGCGTGAGGGCCACGAAGAAATGGTGGCCTTGCTTCTTTCTCAAGGGGCCGACATCAATGCCCAGACGGAAGAGACGCAGGTCAGTTATCCACGGGTGTTTTTTGTTTCGATTGACAGCTGAGCGCCAAACATTTTCCTGAGAAGGTGCACTTGCGCTCCATTTGCGTCCCCCTTTTTTTCTCTCGTTTTTTATACAGGCTCCTCAGAGACATCAATAAATGAAATCCCACCTAATTAGAATTGCTGATTTAAATTTGATCTGGTGATTTGAGCCTGAGCCTACGCAGTTAAAGAAAATGTTAAACCCGGAATCATGAATGGAAAGCAAACTGATGTACAGTGAGAACGGGGTTGCCTGTTGCGAGGATAAAGCAAGCCAGTGATCATGCCGTGATAGGGCGTGATCACGCATCTTAGGGTTTCGTACTACATCAGCAATTAAGGAGGTAATAATGCACTTGAAAATATTTCGGAATGTATAATTGATTTTTAGGAAACTTGCAGTTTTTTATATTGGTGTGCCAACGATTTCAAATATGCAATTATACGTTGTTTTACAGTCGCCGACCGATTTTTCGGACCTGGCGGGGACCAAAAAAAAAAAAAAAGTCCGTAAAATTGAACAGTCCGAAAAATTCGTTTTTTGTCAGAAATATTAACTTTATTGCATCAGGCAGGCTTAAAAAAAAGTCCATGATTCTGCCTTGCCTCATATTACGCTTGAAAGCAATTTGGTTTGCCCATATTTGTCCCAAGGTGACATCGTCACCGTAAATGCTCGACAAAAGTGTCACCGCTGTGGCGATCTCCGCTGCCGACAGCTGCGGGCGATCATCGTCATCATTCGAACCGCTCTCCGGCTGTGGCACAACCTGGCGAAGAATTTCCTCTTCTGTGGGTTCCGCGCACGAAATTGGCATCGTCCGCACGAGCCAAGGCTTTAAATAGAGAGCTTTAGAATAACGTTTGCAGGCGCTGCGGATATAGCGGGCGCATTTTGAGTTCTAGAAAAACGTTTGCTCCCCCTAGGGAAAGGTCTAGGGACGTTCGCCTCGACCGCGAACTCAAATGCACGAAAGCTACAGACAACACTTCGCTGGCCGCGATCACCACACGCTATTTCGGATTTTCTGCGGGCAAACCGCGAACGGCGACTCCGTGTTGCGCTGCATGCGCAGTCGCAGCGACCGCACCGCAAAGGCTCGCGGTGCGCTATTCTAGAACTCCTTAATGTCATTGTGGCAAGCACATTCACTCCACTACTGCGCAGCTCCGCCTTTTCCCTGTACGGTGCGATGATGACAGTGCTGACCACTATGGCTGACCAAAGACAAAAAAATGTTCTCGTGCCGCATTTTCTAAAGCAGACACGGCCTCCGAAACTTGAAATATGACGTTTGCTTTCCAATCTTGGTGGCAGGAAAGCCATTTTAAAATTAAACCACTAAGCTTAGTCAAGCCGGCAGAAAATCCAACATGGCGGCGTCCATACAGGTTCATGGCGCGGCTCGAAACAAGCTTTTTAGTGCGAAAAATTCAACTTTAAAGGGCGAGTTCGTCCGAAAAATTGGTCGAAAAAATGCATTAGCCCTGTGGGAACCCTGACGGTGCACTTTTGAAGTCCGAATAATCCAACAAGTCCGAATTTTTGGAGTCCAATAAATAGGTTGGCGACTGTACTACGATGTAGACCACTTATAATGTAACCGCTTTATTGTGCACTCTTAAAATCTCGTCTTTTTTTTTTACTTATGTTTACTCTCGAATAGAACCCTATGTACATGCGAGCCCGCTTATAACGAACCTGAGCCTGACGCAGCATCCGTTCGCTGTATCCCGAAGTTCGTAGGAAATGAAACACAGCTTTTAAAATAGAATCCGATTCCTCCAACTCGCTTTTGCCGCGTACTTCATTCACAATCCCTTAATCCGTGCATGGTTCCGTGGTGTCGGCATTATCATCAGCCATAATAAAACTATCGCAACAGTTGTCCCACCCGCTCTGTCGAAGTCGTCGGCGCGCTGCCACAAATCGCCGCCGCAGTGGTTCTGTTTGGAAGCTTCAGGCTCAAAATCGGACCTGACGTCGACGAGGTCGGCCTTGCGAAAATAGTTTCGCGTGTATGTAGCCGTCCCGTCGCCGCCACCCATGAAATATTCACCATCTCCACAGCTGAATACCGGGATGCCCGAAGCGGCAGGTTGGCTGCCAGGCGGTCAACAGCTCTGAGCAAGCGCTCCGCACCGCGGCACCTAACGCGAGTATTACACCAAAGCCAAGCGGTCACACTTTTGTCGTTTTGTTGAGCGGCAGGATAAAGCGTGCAAGTCCTCCTGTCTGCCATCCTGACCACACACGCATACCAAGTGCGAGCAAGATGCGCACACCTGACACACATGCCAGAACGCGTGGAACAGCTCTGGGCCCGTTTCTAGTCAGAAAGTGAAACTAATTCGAGCTAGCGTGGCTGGCGTCGCGGAGCGGTGGAGACGGGCGAGGGGGTTGTGATCAAGAGAGGAGAGCAGATTTGCAAAAGAAGGGCAAGGGAGTTGTGACAGAGGGAAGAGAGGGAGGATACGGGGGAGGGTGACCTCGAAAACCAAAACACGCGGGAAGAATGCAGGTCTAGTAGCTTGCTTAGAAGGTTCGTGCCACTCGCGCGTAGAAAAAATCGAAAAATGAGTGCCTGCGCGCGTAGATGTCAAAACACAGCCGCCTGGATCGGCGTGCGTGGCGGTGTTCAAAGAATTGGCGGCTGTAGTGAGAAATCGTTTGTTGTGCCGGCGGGTTTGTGTGGCCTCACCGATTTCAATATTTTGCGATCGTTCCGCGCAAATTAATAGCCGCTTTTGTGCTTCCGCATGCGTAGGGAGGGCATGTTGAGCCGAGTGCAAAGTGAGCGAGAACAGGTCCTAAAAACGAAACGAATCGCGAATCGTCAGAATCGGTGGGGTAGCGTACTGCGTGCACTAGACGCAGACAATAGGATAGAGACGGTGGCCAGCTCTGCCAACGACAGTACCAGAAATCAAAAACAGGGGGGGGAGATGGCGGACCGGTCTTCGAAAGATCGGTGGCAGTGTGAAAACACGGGCCTCGTCTAACGATGCCGGGTGCTTTTAACTTTCAACTTGAAAGCAGCCCTGTAGCTTCAGTATCGCCCCATAATGTGCCTTGATTACCGACACAACAAACAAAACACGCCGCAACATGCACTGGCCACTTCAGCTTGGCTTGGATTGGATTGAATCTCCTTGCAATAGTACGCTTGATGCTTAAGAGATAGCGCCAGATGGCGTGCGCTATCATCATCAGTGGCTGGAACGAGCAGGCGACATTATTGCGGCAATTTTCGGGGGTGCGATAATTACACGAGAAAAAAAAAAACCTATTTTCCTTGGGCGATGTGGGAAATGCGAGAATTATGCGAGTGTGAGGATTACGCGAGTAAATACAACACCTCTCTGCAGTTTGGTTAAACCCAATCACAGACAAATAATTGCCAGCAAGTAATTGTTGAATACTTATGAATTTGGTGTTCCAGCCCACATTGCTCGCAATAGCACGTCTTGACTACAGTATAAGCCGCTTATAACGCAAGTCGCGGGAGTCTCGAATATCTGTACTATAAGCCGTACTGCACTATAACCGAAACATCCTTTTTCAAGGGCCGCACTTACACAAAACGTGTTGAACATGCAGCTTCGCGTGTCCGAAAAGTGAAATGTGTGACGCGTGCTTGCTAACATTTAAATTTCTGAATGTTAAAAGAATTTAACGTCCAAAGACACGCGTTGCCAATGGAATGAACGCGGAAGAATGGGGGTCTTGAAGCACCTTGAAGCACCAAATCGAAGCACCATCGCGGAAATTCGTAGACTACTAGACCACCTTGGTTATGCGCATTATATAGAAACTATGTCGAACCACGTCCAGAGTTAGACGCGTTGAAAGATGCCAATCATTCGATTTCATGGGCGCACACACGATTTAAGGGGAGATGCTCCTCAAAAATTTTTTTCTTCAGATATTTGTGACAGCTCAATGAAAAATAGAGTTGGAGCTCCTCTTTTCAAATCTGCTTTTATATTTTTCACGGCTCATTTAGTTAATTGTTTGCAGACCATGCATTTGTAAAAACAATGCATTCTTGTGCAAGCTTAGGCAACAGTAGTAAGCACAAGAAAGCTCTAAAAAATAGCCAATGTTGCTCCTAATAAATTGCAGAATTCAATAAAGCAAAGAAACGTTGTGTAACATTTGTGTGCTGGCCTAGAAAAAAATTCTAATGCTGAATTTGAGTTTTACCATACTCAAGGAACAAGCTTCTGAAATAATCCAGCTGAATATGCTTTGGAGACGTTTGAAAGTTGTTTATTTGAATTCAGGACATGTTAAACTTTAAGTACGCCAAGTTTCATTGGAATCCGACCACGTAAAGCGTACAAATTATAGTGCACAAGCTCTAAAAATGCCAAAAAATAAGGAACTGAGAAAATGCAGTTTGAAAGTTCAAAAACATGCTTAATACTATACTCTTCAACCAATCTGAATGAAATTCACAGAGAATGTCAGCAAAGCTATCTTGAAAAAGTTGACAGTTTCAGAATAACCAAGCACTCTATATTGGACCCTTACAGCCTCTGCAAGTTGTCTCCTCCCGGCGAGCATTTTTTTTTTTTTTTTTCGGTACTGCGGCGACGGGCCGTTGCTCTTGGGCTCATTCGTGGTTTCGGCGGCGGTATGCACTTTTTTTTTTTTTGCTAATGGCAGTTCTTGTGACGCACCGGTTTTTTAACACCAATGATTGCACAAAACCCGCACAAGCTGCTCGTGTCCGATGCCGATCGCACGCGGTGCGACCACAGACTTCACGCTCACAGCGAAGCTGTCCCGTGCACTGCTGCTGGCGGACGTCTCCTCGCTTCCACTGCATGACTGATACACGTGGCTTGACGCATACGTGGACGAAACAACAGTTGCAGCACATGGGTCATTTCGGCGCTAAAGTTCCGAAAGCGATGCCAGTCCTTATCGTCTACTTGCCATTACTCAAATAGACAGCTCGCACCGTCCGC